TAATTGTAAAATATATGTATATAAGTTATTAGTTCGATTATTTCTTTGATTTTCTTAAAACGAAACTAAAACTAAACAAAATGTTATCGGTTTTGAAAAATGTAAAAGCAAACCAAATCCAATCCAAATAAACTCAGTTTATTTAATTGGCTTAGTTTGATTTTTTTATTTGAATCAATTTTTATCCAAACCGTGATTTCTTAATACCCCTATCCATGATGATAATAGTATTACTTTAATTTATCCCTATGGTTAATTTCCTGATTTAAGCAAGTAATTATTTAGGTTAGAGATAAGGATAAATAGCAAATTTGATCTCAAGTTATAGTCATATTCCAGTTCTAATCCCTATGTAATTTAGCTAAGCATAATTAACTTTAATTAGTGTAAACGTGCTATTTTAACCCCTTAAGTTAACATAAGTTAAAAATTTAGCCAAATAGTTTTTTTTTTTTTTAAATAATATTCTTTTGGTCTTATTGCCCTACCAACTTATGAGACTTAGGGACCAACATGAGTTGTGGTGGACTGGTGGAAGTGCTTCACCCTTAACCAAAGGTCTCAGGTTCAAGCCCTGGGTATGGAGAAAATCTTGTTAGGAGCGTCACCCCCCGAATGGACCCTACAGAGTGCAATCCGAATTTAGTTAGAGCTCCAATGTGCGCTCTGAACACCGAGTGAGAAACAAAAAAAGAACTTATGAGAGACTTAGGGAAGAGAGGCTTTTTATCAAATTTCTAGGCATTTTCTTTTATTTATCATCTCCATTTACAAAAAGTACAAACTAAACCCAATATTCAAAAAAACCTTATAGTTAATAAATAAAAATTGAAACAGTATTTTGATTAATTTTCCAACCCACCATTAATTGTATTCAAGGACAATACAAATAATGAAAAAAAAATGAGAGATAGAGAAGAGTAAGCGTAAAAGAGTGGAAAAGAATCGTCTATATAGCAGACAAAGTTATATTCACAATTACTTTCCTCAAAGTACAATTATTAGTTAGACAATGACAAGGCTTTCTTTCAGTTTTTCGTCTCAAATTATCCGTCGTATTTTTTTTACATCTCAAATGAAGAATATTTTTTTTTATCATTTCATACTCATTAAATATTTACTCTATTAAGTTATTTATAAGCTTTAAGTACAATTATTATTAAAAATAAAATAAAAAACAATTGATATTGTTATAAATTTTAAAATAGGAAATACTTTAGAATAACTATTTTTATAAATCACAATTAAAATTTGTGATGGAGAAAGTATCAACAAATGGGAAATAAAAATATGGAAAAGATTTTTTGGAATATACGTAAGAGTCATATAATTGAGATGAATAACTACGATGTAGAGTAAGAAATGACTATAAAAGTAAAAGAACAACTAGAGACCAAAGTAGCCGGGTATGAATTTTTTTTTGTTGAAAGCGTTACCTCTAAATGGGTCTTACAATGCTCAATTCAAATTTAATCGAACCTTTAATGTGCTTCAAACATCGAGTGATAACCCAAAAACAAAGGGAAGACATATAATATCATAACCTCAAAACATTTTTTTAAGATAATATTTTGAAAAACCTTGGTTGTAATAATATAGTTTGGGAATAATTTAGATAATCAAGATCAATGTATCTAGACATATTATTGACAATCTTAGATAATCTAAATCAATGTATTTAGACCTATTATTGATAATCTTAGAAATATTATTTTTATAAAGATGATCTTTATCTTTATCTTGATTTTGTTTAGATATTTTTCGTATTTTTCATTGAATCATGTATCAAAGTTTTGATTAGACAAATGTCATGATAATCAGAACAGTTCTGAATTATAATTATTTTTTTTGAATAAATTCTATATTTATGTTAATATATTTCTATTATAAATTGAGAATATAACTTTAGTCTATTGAATCATACTGAATTCATAACAACGTACCACCCTGACGATGTTATTTATGGGAAGATATTGTCTACTTCGAACTCCTTTGGGTACGAAGTCGCCTTAGGGAGCCTTAACCCTAATGTGAGACTTTCAACGCATATTTAAATTTAGTCAGACTCCAATATAAGTACGGAATATAAAAAAAAAGAAAAGAATTTGGACTATTTGACACTGAGGTTTTAAAGGTATTACTCCTATTTTTTTTTCTAGAGTCCTGAATAATGACCGAAGTTAATATTACTTAGCAAAAATATAATCTCATAGACAATAATAAAACAATATACAAATTGAAGAAGCATCAATGCACAGTAAAAAGGGCAAAAGTTAGGTCTCATTCCACGTTAATTTTTTCGAATGACCAATTATTATTTACCTATTTTTCCTCTCACAAACTTTTCTTGTGTTACATCATTTTTGTGTTATTTATCATTATAAAAGAAATTAATGTGATGCCCACTCAATTTATTGGCCCAGTGTGATGTTGACCAGATTTTTTTGACCGACATCTACAAAAATTTATGAGTACCTTTTTCTTTTCAAAAGAAAAAAATGAGAGAAAATATGTCAGAATTTTTCACATTGGTCCCCAACATATGATTTGGTCTACTTAGGATCCGTTTGACTCCAAGAATACTTGAGAAAAAATTGAGAAAAACTTAGAAAATGGTGTTTGGTTATATAACTTGGCAAATATATTTGCCAAGTATTCCAAGTTCCCGAGTACTAAAAAAAAAAAAGTATTTGGGCCAAGTTCTAATATTTGAAAAATTTTAAAAATTCAAAAATTACCCAAATTTTTATATTTTATAAAAAATACCTATTATTTATTAATTCCAACTAATATTTGTTACTATCTCCTCCGAAAAGTTTTAGTTCTAATTTAAGTGACAGAATTGAGAAAAAAAAAACAATTTGTGTTTAATGAATTATAATTATAACCGAATCAGTGATAAGTTTGAGTATGCGATTAAAGTATTGTCTTGCTTATATTGTTATTTTGTTTTTGTTGATGGTTTTAATTACATTATAAGGTTATTTTTTAATGGAATATATTCATTATAAAATGATAATACAAATTTATGGGTATTTTAATAGTTTTTAAAACTTATGAGTATAAATCATATTTTTTGAAATAGTCAAATATTCTTGGAAAAACTTGGGGCCAAACACATGGTGTAATTTCACCGAAAAACCTGACCCAAATATTATTTTCCAAGAATATTTGGAAACTTGGGGCCAAACACTAGCTTATATTATTTTGTACTATCTTTATTTTATAGGTTAATTTTTTGGGATTGAATTAGACATATTTCCATTTAAAATTCACAAATATTTTGAAAATAGCTATTATTTTAGAGTTTCAAATTCTAAAGTGAAACTCCAAGTGGCCGTTGAGTGTTTATGTTATATTGTTCATGCTCTAATTAGCAAGCCTAGTTATGCGAGGAGTTTCAGATTTTCTACATTGATTTCAATAGGTGATTTGGTCTTTTTATATAGTCTTAAATAATTCTCACTTAATGATCTAGCTTTTGAGATCAAGTTGATCCCAAAATCATTTCTTATCACTTGATCACAAAGATCCTGCTATGTACAGTATCTAAAGATGGGCTAGACTACATAATTAAAAGTATAAATTATAGGAACCACATATTATAAGTACTAAATAACATCCTATCCCTTCTAGTTTTTTATTTACCAAAAATCCCTTAAAAATGATGTTTGCGGGATACATAACGTTGTGCACGGGATACATTAGGTTTGATAAATTCCACATAGCGGGATACATAGCGTTGTGCATGGAATACATTAGGTTTGATACATTCCACATAGCGGGATACATAGCGTTGTGCACGGGATACATAGCGTTTGATACATTTCACATAGCGGGATACATAGCGTTGTGCACGGGATACATGCGGGATACATAGGTAAAATAAGGGATTTTTGAAATTTTTGAAATAAGTAGGGATAAATGGATATTAAGGTAAGTAAAAGAGTGTAGTTAAGCAATTTGTCCTAATTAAAATAGCACAGTATCTAAAGATGGGCTAGACTACGTAATTAAATGTGGGCTTGGAGCCCATTTCTTATAAAATAATGAAAAAATTAGCTAACTAGTCAATATTCCTAACATAATTATTATAAACATCTACAGTTTAAAATAATTGTTAAAAATGTCAATATTTTAGCAAATAAAGTATATCCTAATATAATTCATTTACCCTTTTTTTATTTCTCAACTTGGGCCCACATTTGACTTCATTATCGTTGAAAAAGAAGAAAAAGAGACTTCATTACCACTTTTCTCTCTCTCAATTTTTTACCCACATTCTCTCCTTTCCCTCTCTCACGATTTTTATCCATACTCCCTCACCTCAATTAACTTAAACCTTTCCTTGTTATTATGAAATTCCTTCATTTTCCCAAGAAATCTCAGTAATTATTCAAAAGATTTTCAACCTTTGATACATGTAAATACATTATCATGACGTATTATTTTTTTTTTTTATATATTCTATTGTTCTATGTTTTCGTCTGAACCTATTTAGATTATTGTGTGTTTTTGTGTTTTTCAATCTCCCCATTTTCAGTTAGGATAATTGTTCTTATTTTCTATTGAATAATAATTCTAGTAAGCCTTGAATGAGCTCCTCAAAAGCTTGATGCAAATAAACAAAATTTTGTTCTCTGTCTTCAAACTATATTTTGTATCATACTTGCTAGTGAAAGATTATCTATTGTTGCAGGTTAATTCGTTCTAATAGTTTTGTCAGTTCATAGAAATTAAACTCGTATGTAAATTGTTCGTCTTTTCACCTTAACATTGTATTGATTTGATAAAGCCCAAGCAAAGACAAATTAGAATTTTGAGTTTATGAGTTCTGAATTCTCAAAAAAGTAACTTATTGATTTTTGTTAAATTATTTATATATATATGAAGTACATCTTTTAACACAAATATCGAGTTTGGGCCAAAACGCCTAGATTTTGCTGAATCCATAAGCAGAACTGTAGCTCCGCCCCCAAGCCAACCCTCCCTCTTTTTCCTCACAAAATTTGATCAGTTGATAAGAAGCTATAGATGAACATATCTCTAATTTCACCTTTATTAAAACCATACTTCCTTAAAAATCCTTCTTTTTTGAAACCAACTTTTTCTAACACCTTTTGTGACCCTATATTTTGAGGTTCCACCAATGCTTCTACCCTCACCAAATTAGGAAAATCATTAAACACAATTGGTATAGCCATTTTTAATGCCTTAGTAACAATTCCTTGTCCCCAATAATCAGAACCAATTGCATATCCAATGTGAGCTCTATGATTTTGATCACTCTCTGATTCTGGCCTTACCGATACGTATCCGATTGATCGATCATCCAAACAAATGGATCGACGCCATGGATGTGGAATTACAACTTGTTGGATGTAATTTCTTGCTGCTTCAATTGATGTGATTGTGTTCCATCTTAGATAATATGTAACGTTTTCGTCGTTAGCCCATGTAAAGAGGTTGTTAGCATCAGCAATGTTGAATGGCCTTAGAGAGATTCTTGTGTTGTCCATTCTAGCTATGATCTCTCCTCTGTTGAGTGAGTTTTGGACAATAATATATAACTATATAAGGCATGTGATGATGTGGTGTCAATATTTAAAAATAAATAATTAATATTATGATATTATATTAATAAAAATTATTTAAAAGATACTAATAAAACATAACAAGTAAACTACAAGTACAACTTATTATTATATCTAATTCCATTTAATACAACTTATTTTCAGATTCTTATATTTTATATATAATACTAAAAAATCTTAACAAAGTAGTGTCGGTCGATATTCCTCGTGGAAAATAAGTATTTTTTTTTTTTAATGTTTAGTAAGTAAGTAAAATAATAATAATTTAAGAATACTTATATGTAAGTATATTATGAGGTTGTGCGAATATTTTGTTAAACTATATAGTTTAAGGTAAAGAACGAAGAAGCAGTTCAATGCATTAAGTTCTCGTTAGGTGTGAAATTTCTTATTTTGTATTTTTTATAAAAAATATTTTTACAAATTAAATATATAATTTTCTAATTATATGACAATAACTTTATTCTAATGTTGAACTGAAAATAATATCCCAACTTTTAAGTACTTGTGATGGATTTTTCAAGAAAAAGTTGGAGAGTAGTCAAGTGAGGCGGCTATGGAAATTATTGGTCTCTTTTATTGGCTGCAAATGGCTCGTGATAGTTGACTTCATTTTTAAATTTATATGGTGTAGAATTCATTCAAGGCATAAAATATAGATATATATTTTAATTTATGTTAAATAAATACTTCAATTTTGAGAAAAACATATTTATATAGTATATTTTAATTTGTTTTTGTTGCGCCTCATTGATACTCGATTTCGACATGATATAAAAAGGTAAAAAGTATCCAGATATAAGTTAGAATATTTAACCGAAAGATACATACAAGTTAATCAGCGTTACATCTTTAATAGTGTTTAATAATCGGTTGAAGTCACACTAAGATGTCTATTTATAAAATTATGTCTTCGCTAAAAAGAAAATTGCTCCTATCAAGAATTCGAGTTTGTTTCATTGGCATGGCTCGAACCCGATCACAACCTCCGAGACCTCTGATTAAGAGAGTGAAACATAAGCTTTTAGTGATGCTTTACACGGTTTCTAGGTCAAAGAAAGTTCCAGAAGGTTTCTTATCTGACTCCTCCATTTTCAATGGTCAAATTAATTCCAAGATTATTAATAATATAAAAAGGCCACATCTCCATGATCTAGAAACTATACAATCTAGGAAAGCCTCAAAAAAAAAAAAAATTAAATTAATTCTCTTTAGCTTCAAATATTTTCATATTTTTTTTCCAATTCGAGGCAATGGAATCTGATACATGTTCTAATCTTGAGAATTTGAAATTGAGTAACAAAGAAGATCATGACATAATAACTCTGAGGTTACTAGACCTAACAGATGTTGATGATTTTATGGAATGGTTTGGTGATGACAACGTTAGTAAATTCTGTTCATGGGACACTTTCAAATCCAAAGAAGATGCAATATCATACGTAGTTGATGTTGCAATTCCACATCCATGGTTCAAAGCAATTTGCTTAAATGGCAAACCAATTGGTACAATTTCAGTTTCACCTTTTCATGGTACTAACAAATGTAGAGGTGAACTTGGTTATGTGATAGCATCAAAGTATTGGGGCAAGGGGATTGCCACAAAAGCAGTGAAGATGGCGGTGTCCGCCATCTTCGTAGATTGGCCCCACTTAGAGAGACTTGAAGCTGTGGTGGATGTTGATAATCCAGGATCACAAAGGGTGTTGGAAAAAGTGGGTTTTAAAAAAGAAGGTGTTTTGAGGAAATATTATTTACTTAAAGGGAAAACAAAAGATATTGTTATGTTTAGTATTTTATCTAGTGATCAATAAGTTACCAAAAGAAAAAGGAAGGAAAATTCATGGACCGGCCATAGGAATTATGAGATCAGCCTAAGGATGTCTTCAGCATCCAGGGGTTACAGACCGACCATAGAAACCTGTTAGCTATTTTATTATGTATGTAAGTTTGTAAAATCTTTAATTAATTAATTGATTTCTTATCAAGCATAAGAATGTTATTGAGTGTGCTGAGAAATTAACTATTCTTGAATCTTGATCTCCTCTGTTGACTTTGTTATCAGAAGGCTAGTGATTCTGTAAACAAGATTTGTGTATTTTTAAGATTAGTTTTAATATACTTGAAATAATTTATATAGTTGTATGTTTTCTCTTTTTATTACTTCCTCAGTCTCAATTTATGTAGCGTGTTGTAAAGTAATATAGTTCTAGCTCTGATCTCCAATTTAGAAAAACCTTTACTGTACTGTTAGAAATTTTCAAACATGAACTATGTGAACTGTTGTGCCGTAATTTAACTATCTTTAGAAAAATCACTTTTTGAAATGTTCTAAGTATAAAACAATTTGAGAAAAAATACTTAGAAAAGAGTCGCCACTTAATTTTTTTTAAAAAAAGAAATTAAGAAAACTTATAATTTTCAAAGATTTAAACAGAAAAAAAATCATTTGAAAATACCAAAGAAGGTTCGGGGTTCAATTTACACTTTGAGAAGGGTTTAAGCATTCAAAGTGCCCGCTAATATGCGGTTGACCTGCGACTTGACTAAAATATATTTTTAACTATTTTTAGGAAAATGGTTTAACATAAAAGAAAATATGATAATTTACAATATTTAGTTAAGTTTAAAAAAATAGCTAAGAAATGAACCATTATATTTTGATCTTTTTGGAGGAAGAGACCTAAAATGAAAATATTTGAATTAAGGAGCAAGTGATTAGAAAATTAATAAAAACTAGACTAATTTATTTAATTCATTTCAGAATAAATTAAATCAATTTAATAAACATGAAAACCATTTCTTATTAGTTGGTTAACCTTTTTTGAGAAAATGACTAAGTAGTTATAATAATAATTTATACTATTAGATTAATTTTGAGAAAATAGTTAACAAATAGCAATTTTTATTTTTTTTTAGAAAATGGAACCTTAATTGAAACAATTGAATTAGAGACAAGTACTTAGAATGTTAACGAAACTAAATGAGTTGGTTTTTATTTGAGTCATTCTTGGTTTATGAAAAAACTATTTTTAAACCAACAAATTTTTTTTTTTTTTTTGACTAAAGATTATAAATGAAAATACAAGAGTTGATAAAATAAGTTTTGTTAGAAACAAAACAACTCAGATGAATAGTTCGTCTTTTGGAGAATTCAACTAAGTTAATTAAAAAATTCTAAAGTTAGAGTTAAACAACAAATAATAAGTAATCGCAATTAAATAATTAAAGCGTAAGGGAGAAATTGAATTTGGGCCTTTCTTGGGCCAAATTCGCTACTTTTTTGGGATTTAAACAAAACCCGTTTTTGGTATACAGCTCATGTATATCAGTGTATATGAACATGTATATCAGCTCTTTTCGTGTATTTCTTGCTTCCAAACACCTGTATTTCACTCCAGCCCTGTGTCCTCGTGTTTTCGACCTGTATATCAGTGCATACAGCTGTATACAACCTCTTTTTGGGCTTTTGAGATCTGTTTCAGCTTCTTTTATAACATAGATTTCCTCTTCGAACTCCATATGCTCCCAATGACGAGGTTGACTTGATAAGAGGGAGTTTTAGGCCTCCGAGGCCCATTTGAAATGCGAGGTGTAGACATGAATACATAGGACTCACTCGGACATACATAAAGTGGACAAATAAATACAAATTAGCAAATGGAATAAGAAGATTGATTGATGTACCATTTTAAACTAAAGGAAACTTTGGCATTTTCATTGCAAATTCAATTGCAGCTAACCTTACACACCAAGAATGGGAAGAGACCATATGTGAGCATTATTAATTTCCAATCACATTGCATTATCATCTAGGGAAATCAATCACAGCACATGGTATTATTCCAAAACACATTGAACACTTCTAAATTTTGAGCTTATTTGAAGATTATATACCAGCTATGTGATGAACAAATGGGAGAAGTTGAAACCTTGGCAAATCAAGCATGACGGATTCATCTACATCCAAACATCAAACTATGCTAACTAAGAAGACATAACACAACTGAATATGCTTAAGTTAACAAGAAAATGTAAAACAAATGCACTTAGTTTAAAATCAACTCATTTAACAAGATGACATTTCCCAAATGCTAAAAAGAAACCAAACTTCCTGGGATCAATCACACTTGTTCGTTCCGCTAGGAAATATTACATTGGTATTAATAATCAACCAAATGGGGGCAACACTATGATCTTGCATGCTTGAATATGGTTAAATATATTAAATTCCTAGATCACACAGTCACAACAACAATCAAAGGAGGCATTCTTGACAATAGCCACTGAAATAAAACATGCAATTATTATTAGCTTTTAATCAATGAATGACTATGTATGTTGACAATAGATTGCTTGCAATAAAATCTTCACTTTTAGGACAAAAAGATAGTAAAATTTGATAACACAACGTGGCACAAAGGCTCTTATAAACTCTCTTTTTTTTTACACGTTATTGGAAAACAAATGAGGCATAATCTGATCTTTTCCTTTGCTTTTAAAAAAAAGAGGCCATAAACACGACATAACAGAGCTACAGGGATTAACATGGGGGCTTAAATAATTAGCAAGCCATATAATGAGCGATTAATACTAAAAAAATTCATGCTTTCAAATAATTTCAAGGATGAAACTTTAACAAATTAAAACCCAAAAAATAATAAGAAACTCTATTCTATACTAACTTTATGGCAAACGACTATTCACTTATACAAAATTACTAAGTAAAGGAGGTAAAGATTTGAGCAAATCTTAGGCATCAAAGCAACGGAACTCGAACAATAATGGAGAAAGGAGGAAGAGGACGACTAAACATTAATTGAATTCAAGCTAACTTAGATACAAACAATACAATTTCGTTTTAGCTCATTTTAAGGGTGTAGAAAATAAGGACATATATGTAAAATTAACATGGCAAAACACTTTACATGGAGGATTTAATAAAAGAACATATGCTCCAACAGAGTGTAAACGACCAGTTTATTGATTCACTTTTACTCGGCCTTAGTTAGTAAGAAAGTCGAAATACATCAACTCGCAAATGCAAAATAACATAGCCTACGCAACAAACGTTTAGTAGAACACAGATTCTATAAATACAACGGCTAATATTAATCCCTAAAGAACAAATGCCATGAAGAAAGAATAAAATAAAAAAAAATAAGACAGTGAACACTCAATTTATATTATTTACATTAACGGAAGTAATAAGTAAGTTACGAACATCATATATCAGATTAGAGATGAACTATCTATGGAAGATGGTTTCGAACTAGGAAAAAAATCTGAATTGCTAATCACAGCTAACAAGACAAGCTAATAGTAACAAAACAGAACGCACATCGTCTGAAAGGAAAGGACGAGAATATTACCTTTTCCGGAGCAGCGATACTAGGACGACGAGCTGAAACAAGCGATATCAACACCACAAGTGAGATTTCGATAAACTCCGACAAAGTTTCCGATGAATTTCAGTTAAGCGGCGAACGAAAATAAATAGAAACCTATACTTCTATATTCAGTCCGTAATCCCCTCCTTCCTAATGAAGGCAGTGGGGGTTTATATATAGGGGAATTTGGGGTCGATTTAGAGGGGAAATCGGGTGTAATTTTGAATTTGAAATCCGAACTCGTATGCCCTTTTCGAGGCAACAGTGGGAGGGATGGGAAGTTTTGAAAAGAAGAAAAAAAAATGGCCATGGTGATGGTAATTGCAGACGCCTGCTGCTTTCCGGATTTGCTGGGATTTGATCGTTGCTTGCTAGTCGTTTGGAAGGAGGAAGACGCAGGGGTTAGGTCTCTGTTGGCTACTGTTGTATGTATGGTGTGCTGCTGCTAATTGCTATCATTGAAATTGAAAGGGAAAAAGGGGATGGGGCCGGGTCAGGGGAATTGGGTCGGTTTGGTGTTGTTTCTGGTGGGCTGGGGCGTTTTTGGGCTGGGAGTTTATTGGAATTGGTATGAAAATTGCTGAATTGTTGTTGGGCTGCTGGAAAAAGGGTTGAATTTGGCCCAAAAAGGTCTTTTAAGTGGGTTTAAAGGTTAGGTGAGGAAAGAGTTTGGATTGGAGTTGAGAATTTGGCCCATTTGCTTATAATTATAGCCAATTGTATTTAGGGATGTAACCAAATTAAGCTTAATTGGTTATTCGACTAAAAAATCAAATAAGACGAATTAATATAAATTAATTAATGAGTTTCTTAATCTCAACAAAATAAAAATAATGAACTTAATTATAAATTGATAAATTCAATTACAAAACTAATTAACTCGAAATTATAGCTATAACTTAAAGCAAATTAATAAAATATTTAACTAAAATGTAAAATCTTTTGTGATGACTTTTCAAATATTTATAAAATAACGTGATTGCTAAAATATACATATTTATTATTTAAAATTATTAAAATTATTTAAAATGACAAAATTACTTTTAAAAATAACTTGGAAGTATTTTAAATTTCATAAAACTCATTAATTCAAAATCATAACTATCCCTAAATTTAAAATATAAAACCCCCTTCTTTTTTTTTATTTTTTTCTTTTTTTTAAGACGATTTTCGAATAATAATAAAATATACTAATTGTATACATAATTATGTAAAACATATATATCATCTAAAAATTATGAGAAGTGACAAAACTATTTAAAAATCTCGCAAACTATATTATTCTTCTTCTTATTATTATTATTATTATTTATTTTATTTTATTTTCGGAAATTCTATAAAACTAATTATTTTAAATCGTTTGAAATTGGAGAAGCTCGAAATGATTAATTTATATTGTGGAGGGTCAAAATTGGGTGTCAACATGAACTTCTATAGTACTACTTGTTAACATCATGAAATTATTGAAATATAATATTCTTTACGCCTCAATATAAGTGTCTTACTTTTGATTTTTAATTTATCCAAAAAAAGTCTCTTTTTATATTTAGTATGTTTTTCAACTTCAACATTCTATCTGATAGTATTATAGTAAGATCCAATTTTTTTGTATGTTCCTTAGTGTCTAGTCAAACTAAGACACTTAAATTGAAACGTAAAGAGTAATAGATAGATATTGAACTAAAAACAACATCTTGATTAATTTAGTACTTTTGATGGATTCTCCGAGAAAAGCTGTACAGTTGGACAAGTTTATGTTTTTGTTTGCAAGTGACCCATTATAAGAACAGTAAAGATCTGGCAATTTCCTCGAAACATTATTTATCCTTCATGTTATTAGCTTAATATAATGTTTCACTTCCCTAATCTTACTCGTTATTAGTTGCCAATGAAATTCGATGAGATATTATTATTCTACACAATCTAAGTGATAGTTAATTATCTTAACTGTTCTCCTAAGTGAAACATGTTTTCTAACGTGTTTCAATAAAACAGTAAAAGTAGTAATAATAATACACCGTTTTTATGTGGAAACACCCATCTCACAACAAAAAGGTGTAAAAACTACTATGGGTAAAAACACCTCTCGACATTAAAGACTCCTCTTTTTATCTGAACTGTTGCAATAATAATTTAAAGTTGGAATAGGAATCCTAAAATGTTTAAGATTTATTATTTTTAGTATTTATTTAATTAATATATAATTAAGATTTATTTGTCCTAGTTCACATAGAAATAGATTTTCTAGTCCTGGTTTAATTTAGTTCTTATTATTATAAAAATAGGAATGCAACTAGTTATTCTTCTATATACAGAAATATAGAGAGAGCTTGAAGTAACATTCAAGAACTTACGAGAGGAACTCTGCTTATACTTTGTGCTATAACTAGCTGTTGCATCTAAGCCTGAGTAAACAAGAAGATGAAGAATGAATCAGACATAATAAGTCCCCGGTTATTGGATCAAACAGATGTTGATGATTTTGTGGAATGGTCTTTGGATGAAAACGTTAGTAAGTTCTTTACTTGGGGAACTTTCTTAACCAAAAAAGACGCGAAGAGATACACTACTAAATATTTTGTAACACATCCATGGTTTAGAACAATTTGCTTAAATGGCAAGCCAATTGGTTATATTTGTGTATCACCTCATGTGGGAAGTGATAGATTCAAGGGTGAAATTGGATATGTGTTATCATCAAAGTATTGGGGCAAAGGGATCGCCACCAAGGCTGTGAAGATGGTGGCGGCCACCATCTTCGTAGAATGGCCACACTTGGTCAGGCTTGAGGGTATGGTGAATATTGATAATATAAGATCACAAAGGGTGTTGGAGAAGGCTGGTTTTACAAGGGAAGGTGTTTTGAGGAAATATTATATTTTTAAACGGAAACTAAGTGATCTTGTTATGTTTAGTCTTTTATCTACAGATCAACTTACCTGAGCCGACGGTCATAGTCAAAATTTTATAGTATATGAATAGGTTTTCTAGTATCTAACTAAAATAAGAGTTGTATTATGGAAAATTATGAATAAATTATCTTTATTTCCATTCACAATTTTCATGTTTTAGTAGAAATTTCATCTATTATATTCTTCAATGGAATCTGAAGAATTGCCAATGAAGATAGTTTATAAAATATAACTTTCTGGGTTGTGACTTGTGTCTTTCGGCAACAGCTTCTTTACCTCCACGCGGTAGTGGTAAGGTCTGCATACACTCTACCCTCCATAGATTCCACTTGTTGTTATTATGAGATGGAGACATTGTAAAGATTTGCTAAATAAGATCTCAAAGAATGAATGATTTAAAGAACTTCCACCATAGTGTTAAATTTTTTTTTAACCTGATGGCTTTATTGGAACGCAATAGATGTATTGGCTTATTGCTTGAGGCAGCTAAGTACACTCTTTGGAATCTCTTTGTTTGGTACGATGATTTTAAACTAAACGTACATAGAATTTACCAAAGTGTCATTTATTCTCATGGTCTTAAACATGCCACTACTAATAAAAGAGACATTTAATGGCAATATTCATCACGCACAATTGAGTTAATTCTTTTTGAAACAGACTAAAAAGAAAAGTAAGACAAACAAATTGAAACGAAGCGAGTAATAGATATTTCAGTGAAAACAACATCCTGAATCTCCAAGAAAAGCTGTACAGTTGACAACAGTTGTCAAGTGAGGTTGCTAAGAAAGTTCATATGCCTTTTTTTTACATTCCTTGGTGACTAAGTTATATGAAGAGTAAAGACGTAGCAATTTCCTTGAAACATTCTTTATCCTTCATGTTTAGTTTATATAAAGTTCCAGCTTTGTCATGTTTCACTTAATTCCCTAAAACTATAATCTCTTAACATATAATAAAACCAAGAAAATTTCAGTGTTTTTGGCTATGGAATCTGATTCATCCTCTATTGATCTTTCTCGTCTTAACGAAGAGTTGCCAGTGAAAATCGAGGAGATGTTGAAATTGAGTAACAAAGAAGATGACATAATAAGTCTCAGGTTATTAGACCTGACAGATATTGATGATTTTATGGAATGGTTTACGGATGACAAGGTTAATAAGTTTTGTTCTCGTGACACTACTTTCATAGCCAAAGAAGACGCGATGCAATACATTGCTGATGTTGTTATACCACATCCATGGTACAGGGCAATATGCTTAAATGACAAGCCAATTGGTTCAATTTCTGTATCATCATTTCATGGAAGTGATAGATGCAGGGGCGAAATTGGATACGAGATATCATCAAAGTATTGGGGCAAAGGGATTGCCACCAAGGCGGTGAAGATGGTGGCGTCCACCATCTTCGTAGACTGGCCCCACTTGGCCCGGATAGAAGGTATTGTGGCTGTTGATAATGTAGGATCACAAAGGGTGTTGGAGAAGGCTGGTTTTATTAAGGAAGGTGTTTTGAGGAAGTACTATCTTGTTAAGGGGATACCAATAGATATTGTTATGTTTAGTCTTTTATCTATTGATCAACAACTTACCTACTTTACTTGAGCCGAAGGTTTATTGGAAACAGTCTATTTACCTTCACAAGGTAGGAATAAGCTGCGTACATGCCATCCTCTCCAGAATCATGGCTAAAGTGGAGTACTCTCTATATATGTATAACATTATATATCATTATACAATATTATACAAATAGTAATAAGTATACGCTGTTATACTATAAGATGGACTGAACTCTCTGCTTTTTGAGACTAAAGCCAGAAGAAAGAGGAAAAAAATGAAAGAAAAGGTGTGCAACACTTTTGGGCTAAAGATTTATGATATAAGTATTGGGATATAAATATGCAATATAAGTTAAGTAATTATATTTTGAGAAAATTTCACAAATAATAAAGAGATTAAATTTAGTTACGCTTCATAGCAACAGTTTGCTTAATTATACTTCATAGCTATAGCTTTGTTTGTTATGAATATTTCTATTTGTATATTTCGCTTTCAATATACAAACAAGGTAAGTATATAAAAATTCTGTATTTATACATTTAGTAATTTTTCAGAACTTCGTTTGTATATTTCGCTTGCCATAGGAATTTTTCAGAACTCCATTTGTATATTTCGCTTGTCAATATACAAACAAGGTAATTTATATTTTTAATAATGTCACGACCCAAAAATGGACGTGATGACACTCGTCTTAACCCACCAAGACAAGTCAGCCTAAAACTTAACCATTACAATAAAATGCGAAATTTTTTATAATAAACTCAAAAATACCCCAAAAATCTGGTTGTCACGTATACAAGCCTTTAAAGTATTACAATTGATTCAAAAGAAAACACAAGTCTCAAATGACCTTATTTCTAGAATAGAACAATATTATAATTAAGAAGAAAGAAGGTTCGCTGAAATGACAAGCAGCTACCTCACAAACCTCCACAAGAAACCTCGGACAAGGAGAAGAGAAAATATCACAAAGGTCCGGGCTAGTAACCTACAAAAAAATGTAGTAGCAAGGGGTGAGTACCAAACCACACGGTACTCAGCAAGTAAACCTCTAAACACGAGCTAAGGGGATAGAATACGAGTACTCCTTACACCCCAATCGAACCTTTACAACTATAATCTGTATAAAACCAGTCCAACAACAGTTCACAGTTTACAAAGCACATAGCTCAACAGCAACATTCTAGCAATCATATATTCTCAACAACAAGTTCAATATTCATCAATTACAACCTGCTTAAAATCAGCCCAACATAACAGTTCACAGTTTACAAAGCACATAGCTCAACACAACAACAACAACAATTTCATATCCTCAACAACAACACTCTAACAACTGCATATCTTCAACAACAAGTTCAATATTCATCAGTCACAAGTTCCACAGAAAGGCACTCACAAAATCAGCAACACATAAGATCAAGTTCACCAATAATAAAGAAGTGCAATGCAATGAAATGCAATGCCAAGTATAGTGATGCATGTCTGACCTAATGATACACACCTGTTGTCTCTCAGTCCGGGACCCATGGGGGACATATCTGTCCATGCATCCATCGCGGCGCGGGATACGTTCCTCGATATATAGTATCCATCACGGTGCGCGATACGTCCCTCGAAATATAGTATCCATCGCGGCGCGCGATACGTCCCATATTTCTCAAATTTTCAAGCCTAGGGTAAGTCTCAATATATCAATAACTTAGTTTATAATGTAGTAAGTAACTCGAAAAAAATGTTTTCTGATCATTAACCACCCATCATATAAATCCAAATATTACCTAATGATTACATTAGCCATTAACAATTTTCCACCGAGAAAACGTTAGCATAGGTTATTAAATTCAATTTCTCTTGTTTCTCTATCTATGCCAATATTGTTATTGTAATAATAATAGATTAAATAGAAACATGTGTCAAGTAGTTACCGTGTTAGTAACTCAACTTTGAGAAAACCTAATGTATAGATCTTTAAGCCTAACTACAAACATATATACCGATAATCACCGACCTCTTCTATAAGTATATTAACCTCAAATGATTTTCCATTATAATGAATCAATGATGGGACATAATCATTGCTCAAATTACATATTTAATCCATTACTATTATTCCCTCGAGTCCAATTACACTACCAGGTTATTGATTTCTCTTCTATAACCAATACTATAATAATAACATTAATATAGTTCATATCAATATATACAATACAACAAGATGTTGGCAATTTTGATGACTTACCTGAAGTACACACGCAATACCCTCGCCGAAGCCGCCACTAAAATTTCAGCGTTCTCTTCTATCCTTTTCTTTTCCCTCTTAAATTATAATCTAAAAGTGTCAACCCTACTAATTATTTTCCTATATGGGTCAAGTTGTATTAAACTAATTATAAACTTAACCCATTAAGCATTAACTAAAATTAGTTATTTAATAATTAACCATCAATTAGTTCACTCTAGTTAAATGAATATTCAAAATTTCCAAAAATGACCTTCCGGGTCATTACAAATAACTTATACAAATCAAATGTATCAACAAATTGTATACAGATAGCTAAGGTAAGCATATACAAAATCTGAATTTATACAATCAAGAACTAAATTATAAAAATTCTGGATTCATGTAATTAGGAACCAAATAACCAAATTTAAGAAACTTTAGCCGCAAATCATAAATATCCAAAAATGTAGTTATGATGCGTAATACTCCCTCTGACCTTATTTACTATTCCATTTTTGACTTGACACACTTATTAGGAAAATAATAATTGACATAGTGAATTTACCTTTTAACTCCTATTAATTGATAGAATTCCAAAATCATTAAAGAGCTTATTAAAGAGCTTCTACCTTTTCAAAAAACATTAACTCTTTAAATAAATTGAGAATATAATAGGTAAAATATATTTCAGTGAAAACAACAACATTGCTGATGTTGTTATACCACATCCATGGTACAGGGCAATATGCTTAAATGACAAGCCAATTGGTTCAATTTCTGTATCATCATTTCATGGAAGTGATAGATGCAGGGGCGAAATTGGATACGAGATATCATCAAAGTATTGGGGCAAAGGGATTGCCACCAAGGCGGTGAAGATGGTGGCGTCCACCATCTTCGTAGATTGGCCCCACTTGGCCAGGCTAGAAGGTATTGTGGCTGTTGATAATATAGGATCACAAAGGGTGTTGGAAAAGGCTGGTTTTATTAAGGAAGGTGTTTTGAGGAAGTACTATCTTGTTAAGGGGATACCAATAGATATTGTTATGTTTAGTCTTTTATTTATTGATCAACAACTTACCTACTTTACTTGATCCGAGGATTTATTGGAAACACTCTATATTTACCTTCACAAGGTAGGAATCAAGTTGCGTACATATCATCCTCTCCAGAATCTCTAGTTGGCTAAAGTGGAGTACTCTAGTATGTATAAGTATTGTATAATTCTCTCTCAATATATGTATAACATTATATATCATTATACAATATTATACAAATCGTAATAAGTATACGCTGTTATACCATAAGATGGACTGAACTCTCTGCTTTTTAAGACTAAAGCCAGAAGAAAGAGAAAAAAAATGAAAGAAAAGGTGTGCAACACTTTTGGGCAAAAGATTTATGATATAAGTTTTGGGCTATAAAAATGCAATATAAGTTAAGTAATTATATTTTGAGAAAATTTCACAAATAATAAAGAGATTAAATTTAGCTACGCTCATAGCTACAGTTTGCTTAATTATGCTTCATAGCTATAGTTTTATTTGTTATGAATATTTTTGTTTGTATATTTCGCTTTCAATATACAAACAAAGTAAGTATATACATTTAGTAATTTTTCAGAACTTTGTTTGTATATTTCGCTTGCCATAAGAATTTTTCAGAACTCCATTTGTATATTCCGCTTGTCAATATACTAACAAGATAATAAATATTTTTCATAACTTATACAAATTAAATGTATCAACAAATTGTATACAAACTAAGTTAAGCATATACAAAATCTGAATTTATACAATCATGAACCAAATTATACAAGTTCTGGATTTATGTAATTAGGAACCTAATAGCAAAATTTAAGAAATTTTAGCCTCAAATCATAAATATCCAAAATGTAGTTATGAAGTGTAATACTCCCTCTAACCCTATTTACTATTCCATTTTTGACTTGATACACTTATTAAGAAAATAATAATTGACATAGTGAATTTACCTGTTTACCCCTATTAATTGATAGAATTCCAAAATCAATATACTTATTAAAGAGCTTTTACCTTTTCAAAAAACATTAACTCTTTAAATAAATTGAGGATATAATAGATAAAATATATTATTTTTTCTTGATTTATCAATAATGACTCAAAATTGAACCAAAACTAATAAAGGCCAGCTTGTTGGAACACTAATTCAAAAGCCATAGGAAACCAAAATTGTTTAGGATATGATATTTAGAAGTTTTTTTTAATTCATGTCTAAATAGGATTTATAGTCTAAATTATATATTGACTAAGTTTTCTAGCTAATATAAGTTTTGCACAAAGGAGAATTCTGAATAAATTATTTTTCTTCACAAGTTTTTCGTGTTTCAGTAAAAAAAAGAAGAAGATGATCAATCAATCAGACATAATAAGTCTCCGGTTATTGGATGTTAGTGACGTTGATGATTTTATGGAATGGTCTTCGGATGACAACGTTAATAAGTTTTCTCAGGAACGTACTTTCAAATCCAAAGAAGACGCGATGAGTCACATTGTTAAATTTATTGTACCACAACGATGGTTCAGAGCAATTTGCTTAAATGGCAAGCCAATTGGTTATATTTCTGTATCACCTTTTTGGGGAAGTGATAAATCGAAGGGCGAAATTAAATACGTGTTATCATCAAAGTATTGGGGCAGAGGAATCGCCACCAAGGCAGTGAAGATGATGGCGGCCACCATCTTCATAGACTGGCCACAATTGGCCAGGCTTGAGGGTAAGGTGGATATTGAAAATTTAGGATCACAAAGGGTGTTGGAGAAGGCTGGTTTTACAAAGGAAGTTGTTTTTAGGAAATATTATTTTTTTAAGGGAAAACTAAGTGATCTTGTTATCTTTAGTCTTTTACCTACCGATCAACTTACTTGAGTCGAGGGTGTATCAAGTTTATTTATCTTCATGTCTAAATAGTATTTTATAGTCAAAATTTTATATATGAATAAGTTTTCTAGTATCTAGTTAAAATAAGTATTGTATTGTGGAAAATTTTGAATAAATTATCGTTTTTTCCTTCACAGTTTTTCATGTTTGGTCTTGAGGCAATGGAATCTGAAGAATTGCTAATGAAATTCGAGGAGATAATGAAATTTGGATAATAAAATACTTTTTTTTGATATGTTAATAAAACTCTGTTATTAGGACTAAGAAATTGTCGCTTCATATTTTCAGGGGAAACAGAGTTTCTTTTCCCAATGGGAAGAACTTTTAAAACTTACAAATTTCGTTCCTAATTAGGCTTTTAAAGTTGTCTCCGTGAAACTTATAAGTTACAGGTTACCAGTTCGAGTCGTGGAAGCATCTTGTGCCCCGGGCTACCCAGAGACGTATCCAGAATTTTGAGATGATGGGTGCACTGTTATATAAAGGTTGATCTATGATATAAATTTGATCGGTTTGACATTTAGATTTTTACTACTGAAAACCGTTAAAATTTTAAAATTATAGGTCTAAAATTAATTCTTATATACCAATTACCACTTAGAGAAGTGTTATCTAATTTTAGAAAGAAAAATAAAACAAGATAAATATAAAATTTAACTTTCTAACCTCGCGGAGAGAGGTGCACCCAGTCATAATCGCATTATTTGATACTTAAAGTGTGGGTTCGTGCATCTATATTTCAATATTTTTTAAAATTATAACACTACTATATATGATCTCGAGAGGGGGCCATGGGTTCACGTGAACCCGGTGATCCTCCTTAGATACGCCTCTGGGGCTACCCTTAATGGATACACAAGATGTTGGATCCTCCGTAAAGAGACAACATGAAGAATGCTGGAATTCCATTCGAGTCCATCGATATCCATGATACAATGGGTAATGCTTGGTGGACTTTCAAAGTTAGTCATGCCAATAATCGATATGCCTTTGCTGGAATATTTCCTCCTGTTATGTACTCCACTCTGTCATGCCAGATCGCGCAGATGTTTATTGTAACTGATGGTCATGGCACATTCTCCCCAATTGTCACTCTCCGGGCTGAAGATGTGTCATATCAGACAAGGTTAATTGATATCACAGATGGTGCCCCATTCCGGGCATTTGCTGCACTATGTGGAGGTCCTAAAGAAGAATGGAATGAATATGCTTATATTGATTAGCCCTGAAATGTTAGGCTTTTGTTGTGCTGATCGCTCGCTGTATTGTTATTGTCACTACGAACCAGTTAAGATGAGTTTGATGATTCACAAAAGCTTGTTTTGTGATGCTTATTAACTTATAATATGCATTGTCCTCTTTTTGTTGTTGTGTAATGAAGAGATCTTATAAAATTTAAGTTTTTGGGGTTGTGACTTGTGTTTTTCGGAAACAGCCCCTCTACCTCCACGAGGTAGTGGTAATTAGTAAGGTCTGCGTACACTCTACCCTCTTCACTAGTGGGATTCCACTGGGCATGTTGTCGTTGTTGTTATTGCTATGGGATGGAAACTCTGTAATGATTTTCCTAAATAAGATTTCAAGAATGAATGATTTGAAGAACTTTTGAATCTTGTCATCTTAAACTAAAAATACGTGTAGAATGTATGAAAATGCCCTTTAATCTTATAGTCTTAAACATGTTATGTGAAAATTGAATAAAAAGAAAGAGATATTCTTTTTTTGAAACAGACTAAATAGGAAAGTAAGACAAAGAAATGACGCGAGTAATAAGATATTGCAGTAAAAACAACATCTTGATTAATTTAGTACTTGTGATGGATTCTCCAAGAAAAGCTGTCAATTGGTAAGAAAGTGACCCATGATAGTTCCATTCATTAGTGACTAAGTTATATGAAGAGTAAAGACGTAGCAATTTCCTTGAAACATTCTTTATCCTTCATGTTTAAGTTAATATAAAGTTCCACCTTTGTCATGTTTCACTTCCCTAAAACTATAGTCTGTAACACATGTTTAAGAGAATTTCAGTGTTTTTTGGCTATGTATTGATATTACTCTTCTTAACGAAGAGTTGCCAATGAAAATTAAGGAGACGTTGAAATCGAGTAACAAAGAAGATGATCAATCAGACATAATAAGTCTCCGTCTATTGGATCTAACCGATGTTGATGATTTTATGGAATGGTTTACCGATGACAACGTTAATAAGTTCTGTTCTCGTGATGGTTTCTTATCCAAAGAAGATGGGATGCGATACATTGCTGATGTTGTTATACCACATCCATGGTACAGGGAAATATGCTTAAATGACAAGCCAATTGGTTCAATTTCTGTATCATCATTTCATGGAAGTGATAGATTTAGGGGAAAAATTGGATACGAGATATCATCAAAGTATTGGGGCAAAGGGATTGCCACCAAAGCAGTGAAGATGGTGGCGTCCACCATCTTCGTAGACTGGCCACACTTGGCTAGGCTTGAAGGTGTTGTGGCTGTTGATTATGTAGGATCACAAAGGGTGTTGGAAAAGGCTGGTTTTATTAAGGAAGGTGTTTTGAGGAAGTACTATCTTGTTTAAGGGGAAACCAATAGATATTGTTACGTTTAGTCTTTTATCTATTGATCAACAAATAACTCGAGCCGAGGGTTTATTACAAATCGTCTATGTACTGTCATAAGGTAGGGATCATGTTGCGTATATATCATCCTCTCCAAAATCTCAAGTTGGCCATAGTGGAGTACTCTAGTATGTATAATTCTATATATATTATATTATATATACAACATCATATATCATTATACAATATTATACAAATTGTAATAAGTATACACGATATGCCATAAGTCCATAATGTATTAATATCTACTAAAAAATAATAATTAGATTCTCCGATTCCTATACCAAAAGTAATTTCCTCGAAGATTCTTTATTATTCCTTTTTTGAGTTATATGAAAGGCCAGCTTGTTGGAACACTAATTCAAAAGCCATAGAAAACCAAAATTGTTTAGGATTTGATATTTTATAGTTTTTCTAATTCATGTCTAAATAGGACTTATAGTCAAAAAAAATTATATATTGAATAGATTTTCTAGTTCTCTAGCTAATATAAGTTTTGCACAACTTTTTCGTGTTTAAGTAAAAAATTTATCTTGAGGCAATGGGATCTGAAGAATTGTCAATGAAATTCGAGGAAGTGTTGAAATTGAGTAACAACGAAGATGTTATTGCAGATGATTATTCAGATTCAGACATAAGTCTTCGTGTATTGGACCTTACCGGTGTTGATGGTTTTATGGATTTTTATGCGTATGACAATGATAATATGTCTTGTGACACTTTTGAATCCAAAGAAGACGTTGTTGTTGCAGATGATTATTCAGATTCAGACATAATAAGTCTTCGTCTATTGGACCTCACCGATGTTGATGATTTTATGGAATGTTACACGGATGACAACGTTAGTATGTTCTATTCATGTGACCCTTTTGAATCCAAAGAAGACGCGATGCAATACATAGCGGATTTTATTATAACACATCCATGGACTAGAGCAATTTGTTTAAATGGCAAGGTAATTGGTTCTATTTGTGTGACCCCTTTGGATCAAGAATGGTATATGTGCAGGGCCGAAATTGGATACGAGTTAACATCAAAGTATTGGGGCAAAGGGATTGCCACCAAGGTTGTGAAGATGGTGGCGTCCACCATCTTCGTAGAATGGCCACATTTGGCCAGGCTTGAGGGTGTGGTGGATGTTGAAAATCTAGCATCACAAAGGGTGTTGGAGAAGGCTGGATTTACAAAAGAAGGTATAATGAGGAAATATTATCTTTTTGATGGGGAACCAAGAGATATGGTTATGTTTAGTCTTTTATCCACTGATCCTTTAGACAATTTGAGTCTAGTTATCCCGAGATGTGGAAAGAGCAGCTGTGAGGAGCGAAAAAGCCATTCAGGAAGAATAAATTTTCACGATACTAAAAGGAACTTTGAACGAAACTTTGGATTATTTGGAACAAGTCTTTGGATTATTTGGAACAAGTTGATAAATTAAAACATGTATCTTTAATTTCTTTCATTTAAATACTTGGAAATTTGTTTTATTTCTAACTCTTGTTAATGCTTTAAGATTAGGTAATCTATATATTAATTAACCAAGTTGAAACATTCAACTAATACATACCAAATACAATACAAAAGTTTATTATATCATGTGTGAACATAAAAGAATAAGAAAATACAATAATGTCCATCAAGAAAATGACTGTAGATCATATGAAATAAAACAAATATAGCTGGTAATCGATACGCGAATATGAATCTATCAACATAGCAATTCCGTTATTCATGAAAGTCGTAGCTGAAAATCTTAGGCCGCGGTGAATGTTGAAGCAACAAAGAGAAGGAAGAAGAACAGAGGAGCTGCCATTTTAGTTGAAGTTGCATCATTTGAACCATCTCGTGGTGATGGTATTCCGTTAGTTCCACGTCCTGTTACACATTCGTATAGTGTTAAACACGAAGTTTAGGAATAAAAAAAAGTTATAATCTTTCGTAGTCTGAAACAAACCATATACATTATGTAGTGAAAATTCGAAACTAAAGAAAAGTACGACACATAAATTGATACAGAAAGAAAGAGTTGTAATATTTACCTGAACCATCAGTTGGTGCTCCAGTAGGAGAGCCATTTGGTGAATCAGCTGTTCCAAAATAACTTATGTTAGTGAAGGATCTAAATTTTGTTGACAAAATGAATACAAAATTCTAAAATTGAGATTGAGGTGTGATTGATCAATTGATATAAGTTCAGGGGCGGATCTAGGGTATCAGGTGCAGATTTTCATAAACCCTATAACTTTTATGAAGACCTTGTATTTATATTGAAAAACATTAAATATATAAAAACTAATTCGTTGAAAACCTAATAACAAAGTAACCTCTTGGTCTAGAGATAGAAATGTATCTTATTTAAACTTTTGTTGAAATAGTAGTGATCAAGCAAATTAAATATCATTATGGCAAAATTTTGGAAGTAGCCCTATTTGAATACACTTTATAAAACACATTCATGGAATACGATTTATAAACGTAACTAAAATCCTAATCATCAGGTCACCAAGAGAGCAAAAAGTGTGTGTTATATCAAATTCGATTTGAATCCACTCACCCTATAACCTAGATTCACCTCTAAAGTGATTTTAGGATGATGAGGGCAACAAAGTTTCCAACAATATCAACAACATCAAATAAATCATCGATTAGGCATCAAAGACATTATTATATATAAACACATCATCGAGACTACTAATGACTTGATACGCGAACACATTAAGGCTATTGATGAGAGGGTTGATTTTCACTTCTTACCATTGCATTGGCTAAGAGGTGGAGTTTGAACATTACAAGCAGTGGGAAGTGCCAAAGCCTGAGTTTGGTTAATATTTAGCCCCAAATTTGAAGCACCACCATTTAGGACTTGACACAAACAAGTTGGATTATTGTTAACCACTGTGGCAAGTTGAGTGCAACAACCTGAAGTTGGAACAGAGGAATTGCCAGTAATATAGTTCAAACAAGGTGTCATACTGATCAACACGTTCGTGCAGTCGTTGCCCGATTGAGCAACAACTCCAGAACAGATCATCGCGAATACAATAGCGAAAAAACTCATCCTGGTTTGTTGATTTGCCATTTGATATGATGAGATATTTTTTTGATTGAAGTAAGTTTGGTTACACAAATGTTTGTTAGAATAAGAAATGTGGTGTTTGTTTATATAGGAAAAAGTTGAGTAGGGAGAGTCAAAAGAAGATGTTTTTAAAAATTGGTGACCAATAAACAAATAGTAACAATTTGACATTAATTAGTATTATATTATTGTCATACTAGTTTACATAAGAATTAGGTAGATTTGAGAAAAAGTGGTTAGTTGTGTAGGTGACCAACTAATTCTAACTAATTGTGCCATTATATGACTAGTCACACAAACAGAAAAAGCCTCAGGCTCAAGCTGTTTTTTTCTTCTTTGTCACCTGATGTCCTGTAACCATATTGGGGCTTGATTAAATTTGAACGTATATTGTTGGACTTATTTATGGAGATGACGCTCCAAACAAGATTTTTTTTTATCATTCTCAAGATTTAAATTCGAAACTTCTAATTAAGATTGAAGGGATCTCAATCATCTTATCGCAATCCATTGATAATTCTTTAAGTTGTTCAAAATTTGAAAACTTTCTAGAACTTACACAGAAGGTTCATATATATTAGAATAATAAAGTGTACGTAAATAGTAATATATATTGGTCAAACTTGAGGAAAAATCGTGGAATGAAACTTGCGCTGAAAAACTTCTAGAATTCTACTCTTTCCATTTCAAAGTTTTCTTTTATGGAGAATTTTGTTACTCAAAGAAATTTGAGTAATTTACGGGAATGGCATCCATAGACCAAAAGGGTGATTTTGAATTTTCGGCCTCACTTAATAAAAAATTTTGAAAGGGAAAATTGTGCAGAATATCAAGTATCTAAACCCTATTAAATGCTATAGCTACTATTTAGGGAAATTCTAATTCACAGCCTACAGTTTTACCCAATTTTGCTATTTGCTTGATTTGTATAATTCGTCTGATTTGTATAATTTGTATAAATTCAGAATTTTGTATATGCTTACTCTAACTATTTGAATACGATTTATGAAAAATTCATAATAAATTACCATGTTTGTATATTGACAAGCAAAATATACAAACGGAGTTTTAAAAAATTCCTAATGTATAAATACGAAATTTGTATATACTCACACTATTTGTATATTCACAAGCAAAATATACAAACGGACAGAAATATACAACTGCAGTCTCCATAGCAAACAGAACTATAGTTATAGAGCGCAATATATTATCGAAATTATAGATATAAAGCCTTATTATATCTATTCTATTTGCTATTTCTAAAATTTTCTCCAAAATTAGTTTTTCCAATAAGGCAAAAGTTTGGGATATTTCAATATAAGTTTGAGCCTTTGAGGTAGTAAATTTGCTCCATTGATCACAAATTTTGCCTTATCGGTAAAAGTTGCATGTGTTCAATTGTTAACAAATTAGGACATGAGTAAGATTTGGTAATGCTCATTCTAGATATAAGTTGTAATGTATTGAAAAAAGTTACTTGTATTATTCAATTGTTCACAACTTGTTCCCTTTAATTTATAAAGAGTCAATTCTTATAATCCACAAAATAATATTCTATACTTTTTAATAGAAAATGTGTATTGCTTAATTAATGTAAGAAATGACTTTGATCATAATTAATTTACAAATAAATTAACTCGGTCAATATAATTGAAAAATCATAGTCATAACCAATAAACAAGAAATTACACTATTTTATATCTATGTGACTTATTAAAATAATCGCAACTCCTACCTTCGAGATTTTTATTATTTATTAAAGGGTGTCGAAATATAAAGTAAAAAAAATAAATGTTGCTATAAAGAATAGAACACACAAACTCAAACAAGTTTTGCAACCCCTTAATCACTAGTTCACTACACTAAATCTTCAACTTATATCAAGATGTGTCTACACAAGTATATATATATATTCATTAAATCAAATTTTGACCTATATATACAATGTAATTTTTCGACGAAGGATATTGCTAACACCCCTACCCTAGGATAGTTCCGCCCCTGCCTCGTAGGCAGAACTAACTTATGAGCACATTACAACTAAAACTAATGTCTAATGAACAAAAAGGGTTCTGTTCAACGATTTTATTCACGTTATGATTATTTTTTTTAAAAAAAATATTAAGCGAAGACAAAAGTTCAAACCGCGTTGACGGTTCCTTAAGAAATTTAGAGCTGTTCAAATTAGCTGGCCCAACTGAACCCGGCCCGACCCAGATCAATCATTTTGAAGGCCTTTCATGTCCAAATACTAGTAGTTCGATCCAATTCTAAGTGGGCCGTGGACTATTCTTTGGATTTGTTTTAATGTATGTGACATTTTTTTAGTCGTTATAAAAAAAAAAGAAATTATCTAATTACACAAATATTTTTATCATATTTATTAATTCTCCCTATAATTTAATAAGATTCATAATATTGCAAACTAACGTGTATCTAAGTAATTAATACCTAAACAAGTGAGATTTCTGCAAGTTATTTGACAACTATATAATGACATGCATTATTCCCATTTTAGTCTTATTGAGTTCGAGTTAATACTTTATTGTGAAGAAAAGTCAACTAAAAATAAGCTCTAAAATGATTTTAATAAAGACAATAAGTCCTCCGTCATTTATTATATTCTGCATCTAATTAAACAATATCACTTAAATTGAAACGAAGAGAATACGCTAGGTAAATATATTTTATTATCAAAATGGAGAAAGATCTTCTTGATTGTGCAATTCATCCATATATATATATATATATATAATAATAAAATATAATCAATGCTTAATTATAGAACTGGCAAAACGTGAAACAATTTTCTCTGTATTTAATTTGAAAAAACGCTTAGAAATAAAGTTAAAACTGCATCACAAATACTGGTACAATATATAGAGAAACAAATAATTAAAAAGGAACAGACACACAACAAACTTAAAGACAAACACTAATAAACCACGCCCCAATATAACATGTAACATATCATAATGCTACTTTTATTTAGTACTATGATACTTCGACGTGAAAATTCATAAACTTCAAATCATGGAAACGTAGGAAGCCATGAAAAGAACGATTCCAACAGCAGCTCGAATTGGAACCTTCAGAGAACTTCCATCAGAGGTGCTGCTGCTTCCTGACGCCTTTGAGCCTGCGAAATTAATCGACGAAAATGAATAAACGATACGAAAAATAGACATAATATAAGTTTAGACACACGTAGATATATTAATAGTTATAAGGCAGAATACTAAAGACCCCCTTAAATTTAACATATTTTATTCAGATCCTTCTAAATTATCAGTAATCTTAATTAGCCTTTAAATTATTTGAAAGTTCATACACTTGCTAATTAATTATACAAAAAAATAGTCAAACGATATCATTTCAGGGTACAAATGAGTCCAACATATGGAATTGAGGTATATATATATATATTAGATTGATTGTTCAAATATTTGCTAGTAATTACATAATGTTTATCTCTTAAAAAAACAAACAAACAAACTAGTGTTGTATAGGCCTAACATATAAAATGACTTCTTGATTACTAGTTTAGTGTATTGGTAACCAAATCATATATTACTTGTATATGGTTTTAATTATTTATATTTTTACCCTGTCTCAATTTATGTGCACCGTTCAATTTCAAGAAATAATTATTGCTAGTAATTTTGATCGTGAATTTCACATATGGAGTCTTTAAGTTGTTATTTTTTTGAATTTTTTAAAATATATTTTGAAATTAAACTAAGTAAAACTCACACATCTTCCACCCTCTGAATCAAAGATTTACTCACTGCCAACAAAAACATACTATATTTACTAGTTTAAATTGATTCACTATAAACTACAATAATTTAAAAAAAAATCAAGTGATCCTATTGATCATATAATTAACTGGGAGATAACATGTCACATGAGAAGTGAATGTTGAGAGTTCAAAATATTTACAAGACATGAAATATTGCAGGAAAAAGAAATAACTCGTTTGACTCTAGAAATTCAAATTGTATGCATGTGTCATATAAATAATAAATTGGGATGGATGGATTATTATATGAATCATAATTTGAACGTGTTGTTATATATGCATGCATGTTATGGAAATTTTAATTAGAATTTTACGATTAATCAGATCGTTAACTAGATAATCAAGTAGGATAATTACAAAATTAGAGTTTAATTATAAATTACCTGAGATAGCTATACCAGTCGAAGAATCTGGAGCTCCTTCTGAAGGATCGCCCTCTGGAGACATTACCGGTCCATTACCAGCTATGAAATGTTAATTAATAGCACAATTTATTTAAAACATATATATCAAAGTTGGAAAATATTTAAACATTTACATACAAGAAAAAAAAATGATACACAACGAATTTTGCCTATCTATATGAAAATAGTTTAAGTTCTTAAGTTATTTACCTAATAAGTTTACTTATAAAGTAATTACATATATATAACGTCGGAACAATTAATGATTTTCATTAAGATGATCATTTAAAATATTAAAAAGTAAAACCTACGAAAAAATTAAGAAAATTCAGCAAATATTAATTATATAGTATATACATAACATAATAAACAATTTTGATGGGTAACACAAGAAAAATGTAACTTTCCCTGTATAATAAGTTAAAATTATATTGACAGTGTAAAAAATCTTTATATTATCAATAATATTATAATAACGTACCGTAACATTTACTAACGGGTGGAGTTTGTAAATTGCATGCACTAGGCAATGCAAGTGCTTGAGTTTGATTGATTTGGACTCCTAATGACGAACCGCCACCGTTGACAATGACACAAAGGCACCGTGGCTTAGACTGCAACACCCCGGAGAGGGCGGAGCAGCAAGAAGCCGACGGCGTTTTCGCACTTCCGGTGACAAAGCTAAGGCATGAAGCCATAGTAGTAAGTGTGCTTGTACAATCAGATTGAGCCATGGCTACTTGTACTGAAATCATGGTCATGATAATTGGAACTAAAGCCATGCAAATTATAGCAATTCCTTTTGAAGCCATACTTGGAGAAAAATAATTATATTATCTTTTGTGGCTTCTAAGGAATTGATGAATATGGCTTAGCTTGTGTGTGCCTTAGCTTTGTGAGTAATGTTATGGGCATGTAATGGGGTATTTATAGTGTCTTGTTTTGAGTTTCTAAATAATTGTCTTACAATATTCTTTTTAGAAAAAGAAAAAGGGGATTTGAGGTTGAAAGTGACAATTTTTTTTTTCCACTTGATGTTTAGAGTCCATAATAGAGCCATGATTAAATTGAGATTGCATACTGCACAACTCATTGGGAAGTGACGCTCCCAATAAGATTTTTTCCATATCCAGGACTCGAACCTGAGACATTGTTTAAGGGTGAAACAGTCCATCACTACACCACAACCCAAATTGGTAGAATTACTTTTGTTAACTAATAAGAGCTGATCATCGTCAAGCTTGTGGTCAAATAGATAGGATTCTTTTCTCGGGTCTCAAGTTTGAATCTTAAGAATTGAAAAAAATAAAAAATTAACAGAGAGCGCTTCTTCCTTTTAGTTGTGCTTATGTAGGACAAATTCAAACTAATCAAGACTCCGTAATATATACTCTCTTTGTCTCAATTTATGTGACACATTTCGTTTTTCGAGAGCCAAACAATTTAAGTTTGATCGAGTATTTGCTCATGAAATCTTCAATTTTTTAAAAATGAAATTTATATATTTGTAAACTACGTAAAAAGTACTATAATTCATATTAATAATTTACAATTCAAAATATTTAAAAGATATATGAAAAAATTATGATAAATAATAGACGGTTTAAAATCTGAAATGTGTCAAATAAATTTGAACGGAGAAAGTAATGGAAAAAAAAAAACTAATTAAAAGAGTTTATGAGGTAAGATTTGGAAATGGTGTAGCTTATACACCGTAATATTTTGAATAACGTGTCATTGAGACTAATCAAGTTGCCAGTTAATTTAATTAGTATTCTATTATAATAGTAATATAAATTAATTAATGTACGCATGCATGCCGTGAGATTTATACGGCTAGTCGGCTACAATGTATCACCTTATAAGACTTTGGCAAGGGGGAAGTTTTTTTTCTTTTTTCTTATCCATCGTTCGTTACCTGCATTAAAATTTAATTAAATTAGAATTTACACATTGCAGGAATCATTTTTTAGAGAGATACTCTCAACGATGTTTTTTATTATTTTTAGGGATTCGAATCGGTTGAAACCTCTGGGCTCTAGTTAAGCATGAAAGAATCTCAATCATCCCATCACAACTCATATATATCAGGAAAAGTTACTTGTATACCATAGACATCCTAAGCTGATTACCTAACTCCAAGAAATTTTATGTACATTTGTAGACTAATGTTTGTATAATTGAGTCAATGAAATGAATACAAAATACACAAGGTCAAAGAAAATTCGTCATTCATCAAAATTATGATAAGCTAAATTAAAAGATTATTTTATCATTGTAATGAAACTATATGTCATGGAGACTTATTATTTCATGGGCAAGTGGAAGCCGTCATATGCACCTGGTAAACTGTAGTTCGTCCTCTTTTCTTTTTTTTTATAGAAATTTTATTTATTGATTTTGAAATTTTATAATCAAACATAACTTCAACTTCATAAATTTTAAATAAAGTAAAAAGTATTTAAATTTATACCAAATGTCAACTAAGGGTGTGTTTGGTATGAAGGAAAACATTTTCCGGAAAATGTTTTTCAATTTTCTCATGTTTGGTTGGGCTAAATGTTTTGGAAAATATTTTCCAAATCAACTCATTTTCCTCAAATTTAAGGAAAATGACTTTCTTTCTAAACTTAAGGAAAACATTTTCCAAAACTCTCTTCCAACTTCAAATTACAATTATTTTTTTGTTGAAAAAATCAATTTATTTTGTCCCTACCCTCAAACCACCCCCCCCCCCCCAAAAAAAAATAAAAAAAATTTTAAAGCTTGTTTTTAAATTCAATTTTTTTACCCCACCCCCACCCCCATCCTCACCCCTACCCCCACCCCCTCCCAAAAAAAATTTAAAATTGTTTTTAAAAGATATTTCTAATTTCTAATTTTTATTTTTTTACCCTCGCCCCCCACCCCCCATCAACCCCCCTATCAGCCCCCAACCCCCTTCAAAAAGAAAAAAAATTTAAGTTTGTTTTTAAAAAATATTTTCAACTTCAAATTTTTATTTTTTCATCCCGATCCTCGATCACCCACCCCCCTCTCCGGTCACCCCCTCCCCCCAAAAAAAATAATTGAGTTTGTTTTTAAAAAATATTTACAAATTCAAAATTTCATTCTTTCACCCTACCCTCGACCCCCCACGCACCTCCTACCCCGCACCCACCCACCCACCCCTACCCCCCCCCCCCCAAAAAAAAAATTTAAGTTTGTTTTTAAAAAATATTTTCAACTTCAAAATTTCATTTTTTCACGCTACCCTTGACCCCCCCACCACCCACCTCCTACCCAGCCCCCCCACCCACCCACCCACACCCCCCACAAAAAAATTAATTTTGTTTTTAAAAAATATCTTCAATTTCAAAATTTCATTTTTTTCACCCCTAGAACCCCCACCCACCCCCAAAAAATAATTTTAAGTTTGTTTTTCAAAAATATTTTCAATTTCAAAATTTCATTTTTTTCACCCCTACCCAGTCCCCCCCCCACCGCACCCAACCCCTACCAACACCCCCCCTCCCCACGCCCAAAAAAAATTTTAATTTTGTTTTTAAAATATATTTTCAACTTCAAAATTTTATTTTTTCACCCCAACCCTCGACCCCCCCACCCACCCCTCACCCCCCAAAAAAAATTTAAGTTTGTTTTTAAAAAATATTTTCAACTTCAAAATTTCAATTTTTCACCCCTACCCTCGACCCCCCCCCCCCCTTACCCACCCCCTAACCCCCCAAAAAAATTTAAGTTTGTTTTTAAAAATTATTTTCAATTTCAAAAATTATTTTCTACTCTAGTAAAAATAAAAGATATTTCTCAAAATTAAAATATTTTTCATTCATAAATCAAACACTAAAAATATTTTCCACTCACCAACCAAACATGAGAAAATAAGTCAAAAATCAACTTGTTTTCCAGGAAAATATTTTCTAGGAAAACATTTTCCATGGAAAACATTTTCCTTCATACCAAACACACCCTAAATCTATTAGTTCACAAAAAGTGGACCTTCTCTCAAAACTTGCTAACGTTGTCACACCTAGTGTTCACACCAAATAATGAACGGGAATGTGTATACTTTGTGCTCGTTGTGGGCCCTGACTACTAAATCCCTGGGGAGTGTGTATTGGGCCTGCTGCTTTAGTTGGGCTTTAAGAGACTGCTTCTGTAATTGGGCTTCTTTAGCAGTGGTAAGTCCAAGTCCAATTCAAACAGAGTGCAGATGGTGATGATAGTGATAAAACTGAATGTTAAAATGTTGAAAATAATGTTTACACACATATTGTCATACTTCTCTATAATAACCATCATTTATAACAATATTTAACAATAATGATCATGTTTTATGTGAAACAATCTTTCATGTTATGCTATATTATATGTTCTCTATAATAGTATTTCACTACAACAGCAAAGAAATATTCAGACAAACAACATCGTTATAAAATGTTTTAACTGTTTTGGAATTTTTCATTCAACATATATATTGTATAGTGGAAATAACTTCCCATCAATAATGCAAGTCATGCTCTGATTTGGTATGCAATATTTTCTTCGGAGAAGTTGTGTAGTTTAACACAACCTAAAATTAAGATAAATCTTGACCATTGTTTCCAAGGGAAATTGATTGAATGCACGATCACGAGCTATTTCCACCGACCCATCATGAGGTCACATCTCATGAGTCTATCGTGCCAAAACTACTAATGCTAAGAATGCTTCACCCTGACTAGCTAGACTGGGAAGGTAGGTAAGTAAGAGGCGGATCTAGGGCTTCTTCAACTTCTTACTCATAGTTGAGATACTCCCAACCTCCACCAGCAAGCAGCATCGGAGTTAATCGTAACGTTTCGATCTGGGTGATTTTATCAAGAAAAATGTCAATTGTTGAATACTATCAATAACATATTACCCGATAACCAATTACATGCTAATTTTCTAGCATATAATGGCAAGTGATTACTAAATAATTCCTTTGTTCACTTTTGTTTGTTCACGTACTGTTTTAAAAATAGATTTTTACTTTTACTTATCACTTTGAATATATCAAGAAAAAATGATTTTTTTTTTTCATGTTTTACCCTTATTATTAATTACTTATTTTCACAGACCTAATATTAAACAACAATTAATAGGGGTAATATGATAAAATAGTCATGCATATGAGTATTATTTTCTTGATAGGTGTGCCTAGTCCAAATATGACAAGTAAAATGAACGGAGACAGTATATTGTATAATTACTTGTATTGTATCGATCTATCAACCAAACAAGATTAACTCCGTTTAATTAATGTATGTAGCTCTTAAACTTCGTGTCAAGTTAAACGGTGTCACATAAATTGAGACGACTGAATACTTTTTCCCCACATAATGTAGCTTTTCTTCTATGGAGCTCGATCGACACTACAATACCATTGATATAGAATAGAGCTCCATTGTCTACTCGAGGATAACTAATGATATAATGAGAAGTTATTTGATCAGTCTCTTTCAAACCTCAAACTTACGTGTAGTACTAACAATTATGTGTCACGACAAGCAAAGCCAAAGAGACAAAAACATCAAAACCATTGGAGTACTTGTACAAATATTTGTTAAGGTTGTTGAACTTCAAAACCTGCTAATCTAATCTTAATTCAACTAATTAATCTTCATCATAATAATAATCTTTTCAAACTTTCACCTATATATAAATTCCCCCATTCACTCATTATCTCTACTTAACCATTAATTCACAACTTACACAATTCCCAAAAAACAATTACATATCCTAAAAAATTCTCAATTACTGTCATCATCAGCGTGACTCAAACTCTTAACCTACCATCAGTTGAAAGTCAACCCTGACATGACTTATAAGCACTTAGCTTTTCTGACTTTGGTTCTTTCATGGATGTTGTTGATTGCGTTGTCTCTACAGACTATCGATGGCCAAATGGTAACTACACCATGTACAGGACCGATGATTACTAGTTTTACACCATGTATGAATTTCTTGACGAATAGTAGCAGCAACGTTGGGGGTTTACCAACCGATGATTGCTGCAATGTACTGAAGACTATGATGACCAACGCCATGAGTTGTTTTTGCCTTATTGTTACAGGCGGCATTCCCTTTCAAATGCCTATGAATCCCAATATGGTTATGCCTCTTCCTAGTGCTTGTAACATGCCTGGCGTGCCACTCAAATGCAAAGGTAAAGTTTACAGTATTTAGCTTATTATGTAATCGCGATACTGGAATAGTAAGTACTATTTCATCTTTCATCAGAAGTTTTGGGTCTAGTCTTGCAAGATACGGAGCCACGAGGGAGGGTTGTATGAGTAAATAGTTTTATGGTCAATGAAAGACATTTCTAAACAAAAAAGGTAAGTGGTAATATATTTTTTTTTTTTAAAGATTATAAATATGATATTTGATGTACTTTAGATTCTTTTTATTTAAATTATTTATAATTTAATTGCGTAAAAAATATTTTGAAGCATTTACATCTTGGCAAGAATTAGGTGGTCTACTTCCTACCCTAGCCCTTTCGGTGCTCAAAGTTTATCCATTTGGTTTCTTTCGTCACACTTAAGAAAATAACACTTTTTTTAGTTTTCATTCAGTGTTGGAGTTCGATTAAATATAGATCTGTATTGAGAAATTCAACCCTAATAAGGGCGATTCCAAATCGAGAGAGATAAACTTGAGATTTCTATTTAATAATGAATGAATACTTATCACTTTATCACAATTCTTATCCGTTAAGAAAAGAAATTGATACCGTTTATTTTTTTACTTGCAGCTCCCAGTCCACCTGAGGTTGTTGCGCCAGGTACTTATTATTATTATTATTATTATTATTATT